AGATACGTCAAGCTCCGCGGAGGTCTATCATTAAACTTGCGATCGGCGATCGGTCCGCATATTCTCGAGAGATTTCAGCTGTTTATATTCAGATTTTTTTCGAAGTTAGGAGAAATCTCAATAAAATTGGAGGCAGTCGTTCTTTGCAATGACCACGAACGATCGGCGCGGGATAGCGTGCAATTTATCGATCAATAAATCGGCGATCCGGTCAAGTATCACTTACTGCGTAATGCTACGTTCGAATCGGCTCGACGAGACGCGGTCGTAGCTCAAAGAAAGAGGGCTCAAACGTTTCGTTATTAACGACGAGATTACAGACCCGGTGGCAGTGCGTCGCTCATTACCGCAGCGATAGCGATTGCTATTGCCACGGTAATTTCTGCACATGACCGTGCTCACGTCTTACGCACGTCGTCGATTACCACGTTTCGCGAGATGCGGAAACCACAATCGTTCGTAATCACGATTTTCCAGCGTTGGCAGCGAACATTTTAAATCATTAAAATCTCAAAGAATTAGCTTTAAAAATTTTAGAAAACACACATTAGCTCGCTTATATTTTATTTTTCTATTTCTAAATCTTCTATGTTAAGTCGAATAAAATTATTTAGAAATATTTTTTATCGAAATTATTAATTTTTTTTTTTTTTTCATTATTGGAGATAAAATTTTTCACTCAGTTGTCGTCATCAATAAATCATAAATCTGGAGTCATAGTCACAGCTACAGTTTTCTGCTGATTGCGAATCATCGAACCATCGAAAATTTCAGGTCATTAAATAAGCTCATTGAATAAGCTGTAAATATTTTAAATGAAATACATATTAACTCGTTTATATAATATCTTTATTTTTCATTAAATCTTCTACGTTAAATTGAATAAAATTACTTGCATTCTTTAGAAATATTGTTTTTTATCAGAATTATAAATTTCTTTCACTAATTGAAGATAAAACTTTATTTGGTTGTCGTTATTAGCAATCATAAATCTGCCTACGGTTTGATTGCTAATGTCACCGCTAATGCATCACGTTAATCACGTTAATATGTCATTCGTATCGCGAGTCCCATATACGTGCGTCTGTCTAATTGAACGGACGTGTCTGCCTTAATAATCGGATAAATCCACTCGAGCTCTCCTCTCGCCGGCAGTGATTTCATTTCGCGAATGCGCGCCGAGCCGACGTTAAGACTCGAATCAGTTCGTTATAATTAATAAAACCTTATTGCGCGGCGACTCGGCGGCGTTAGGGAACGACGCGTATTTGTCACGATTAGCGATCGCCCTCTCTCGGGCCGATCTCGCCGATCTCTTTTGTGCAACGAGAACGGATATTTATTCGCCCGCAAATGCGGCTCTGAATGCCCGCCTGGATTAGAGAGACGCGGGATCATTATTTATGCGCGCGATAGCCGCCGCTCGCGCGTTTACGGCTGCCTGAATTAATCATGCGTCACGCCGCCACTATATTTGCGCTAACGAGCCTTTAATCCCTGCCAGCGCGAATTTGTTTCCATTATTAAGCGAAAATTTCACTTCCCACCTACACGTGTCACTGCTAGATCTTATCTTGGAAAGTGTCTTGGTGGAAGAGAAAGGAATTTCTTTTCGCGACGAAGAGGCGCGAAATGAGAAATTAAGGATGTATCGTATCTATCTTGATAATTTTTATATTTACAATGAAAAAATTGTGAAAAAACTTACAGACTATTCCAAATCGTGTTAAAATTTAATTCAAAAAGGTTTAGTGAGAGTTTAGAACTTGGATCGAAAATTATTTTAAGAAATAAGTAGAAGTGTTCTCTAATGGAAATGTAATTAAGAAATAACGGCAAAAATTTCAATTCTTTTTTTTATTTAAGTATTTAAGTATTCAGGATTATTTATGTGTAAATGTTCTCTAAATAAAAATTTAATTTTTATTAAGAATATAAATAATATGAAATATTTAAATAATTTTTGGTCCAAATCGCCACAATATTTTTTGTTCTATTTTTAAACGCGATCTATAATTTCTTTTTTTTTTAAATAAAAATAAGTGTAATATATCTTTAACGTTGCAGAAAAGACAAATTTATCTACATCACGCGATCATGTAACATAAATATGATAAATACAATAGATTTATCACGAAAAGTACGTTTAAGACATTTAAATTCATAAACGGCTACCAAATTCCAAATGAGACAAGCGACTTGAACAAGCTAATACAATCGTGTCTGATGGAAGCGACTCGTTAATGCCACTGACGTTATTTTTCTCCGGTGGTATCTCGCGGTGCGAGAAGCCACGTTGACACGTGTGTAATATAAGCTCAGTGCGTAAAATTAACACGTGTCAAGTGTGACAGCTCTCGACTGCGCGGCCGCGAAAAACACTTAGCGCATTATTAGACAGCATAAATCTCCGCGTTCGCGCGGGGAGGACGATAATTATTCAAATCGTTGCCCCGTTTTGAGGCGAAAATCGGGAGCTTATAGCAGATAATTTCGCATAATAACGTCGCCGCTCGTTAAACCAACGTGGCGTGACGTGACGAGATGCACGATAATTACGATGCTGTCATCCTCGTATCGCGCGTCTTCGCACCTGGAGACGTGAAAATTTTCACATCGGACGACTGTATCAGGTAACCGCATCGTGTAACACTAATTTAAATTTTCACATCGTGCGTGCAGTTTGCGCAAACAAACGCAGAGGACTCTATACTTTGCCCCGTGGGTGTGTACGTGATGAATAAATGAAGAATATCTTCTAATGTCACGTGAACACATTCTTTACACAGATGATTATAGAAGATAAAAACGATTGTGGAGTGGAGTCAGCTGAAGCTTAATCAAATATCTTAAGTCTGTTTAATAACAGTGCTGACATATATTACGAGCATTCTTTGCAAGATACCTTGTGCATTCTGGACATCATTCAGAGAGCCGTGGCATCTCCTTCATTGAAAGGGTTAATTGATAAGACGGCAATAATGCGAAATTTACGGCATGCCGCGAAGGAGCCACCACGAACGTTTCAGCTTGTTCTCTTCCTGATTACGGCGTCGTTAATTAATTCTCGGAATTGCTTAAATACTCGGTTAATTATTCAACCCTTGGCCAGACAAGTCAGCGAGGTACCGTACGCTATTAAAATTATTACAGTACGTAAATGCGTAATTTGCACATGCGTGTTTTCTTATGTCTTTCGATGGCGACTGTCAGTCTCTAGAAGATATCAAGTTCATTTTTATATTTTCTCATTGGATATTTTGATAAAATTATTATTGCATTTATTATATTAAATAAAACATAAAGTTTAGAAATTGCACTAGAAGTTTTATAATATATAACGTATATAAACATTTAAATGGAATTTATTTTTTTAACAGTAACAGTCTTTCTCGTTTACAATTTCAGCAGTTAACTTTTGATTCAATAATGCGATGTTAATTTATAGAACTGTATGATATATTTTCACACGTAATATGATTGTTGATCGATGATGTAAGAAATAATTATGCACATAATGACTGGGGAGTAATGCCTCGTGTGACACGATCGAATTGATAGACGATGAAGAAACACCACGAGTAGAATTATTCATTTCTCTTTGATATTTGTGTCGTATATCGCGCAATAATTTAACAACAATAAGAATTGATTCAATCCCTCAATTAAAAAAATGTGTGAATTAGCATTTGTGGTTCTTAAAAGATACTTAGAGAAAAGTTATTTAGAAATTTATTTTTTAAAAAAGAAATGCATTTCTCTTTCAAGGAGTGTTTTAAAAATAGATGTAGATATTTAATCAGTTTTATTTCAATATATACAAGAAAATTAATCTTAAATCAAGCTATATTCTCATATATAATATTATTTTCATATACAGAAAATGTAAATTTAATCTTGAGTTGAGCAAAATATTTGCATTAATACAAATTCAATCGAATCAAGATGAAAATATTTCAGAAGGTTATAATATTCTTGCTTATATATGAGATGATATATTTTTCTTGATTTACGACTACTTTGTTTCTGCGTGTACATCTGTAGATTTATTTCAATGCATATGAACACCTATAATCAGTTCAATCATGCGCTCCACACCTCGGTTGCAGGTACACCTCGGTTATCTTCATTTTGTATTATTCATGATAATCACGCATGGATGTCTCTTGGCTCGATCGCTCGATCAAGCCGCAACGGCGTGTAAACACGCGATTGCGTCGCCGAATTCAATTCTCGCGGGTAATCCCTTTGTAAGGGCCATCGTTAATAGGAAATCGATATCAGCTTCGGCCGACGATGCTCGATGCGACCATGCATAATTTATAATTTCCGCGGCATTACGGGGCGACAGTCGCGCGAGAACGACAGCCGTCGTCTGCGACATTTGAATACAATGCGGCGCTCGCAGCGAACGGGCATCGCTAATTGCAAAATCCGTTTGATGCTGCATAAACAAGCCGCTCACGCGTGACCAACGCCGGACGAAATCGGCGAACGCCGTGCGACGATCGCCGTTCGCCGTCAATTTTTCGCGTGACGCTCCCGAGAGAATTCGCGCCGCGCTAATCGATTGGAAACAGCACAGATTGATTTTGTCAATGCGCAATTAGCGGCGAAAGCAGGCCTCATAATCCCGTATGAATTATTAATGAGGCCGCTGTCGACACTTGCCGACACTTGCCTCGGCGATCATTTAATTACGACTCTCACCGCGTCAGAATTAGTAGCTTCTTCGGCATAAAGAGAAAAAAATTTGTTACAAGAGTGAAGTTAAAATGATCGAAATTACTGTGAGTTAAAAAATTGAATTAAACATTTCGATAGAAATAATAATTTAAATGTAATGTCACTAATAAACAAACTTCTGCAAAAAATTGTGTCCGTCTTGATTTACTTTGAGAAAGATTTTATTTATCAATTCCACGTGTTTAAAGTGAATGAATTATGAAGTGAGAAGTAGCTATTATATTTTATTAATAATATTTTTTGCTTGATTGCAGGATGCGACTGCAACAATTTGGGCTCCATGAGTTCTGTTTGCGACATCGTGTCCGGACAATGTCAGTGCAAACCACAAGTTGTTGGCAGACAGTGCAACGAATGCAAGGTAAAACTCGATTTTCTACATCAAACATTACAGATTTTCAACTTTGTAAATTGGATTGAATCTGTACATTTAAGAAAGTTATAAGACTATTGGTAATAAGAAAGAGAACTAAGTCTCTTTCTCAGAAAGAGAATTGAGTCAGTCAAGCAACATTGAACCCCGATTGAGATAAATTCAGTGATCTGTAACGTGATGCATTACCTCGATAAACATCTAGCAGTGAAGACAAAGTGCCCTGTTTCGTAATGCAACTGTATCAGATATCAGGAAATACTCAATGAACTGTAATGTAGCAGTGGTAATCGCTAGATATAGTCAGACGTGATAGATTCTCGGTTGAAATCAAGCGATCAAGCGATCAAATCAACAGATCTTTTGTAATAATTACTGCAGTATCATAAGAAATACCGGATCTAATTTAAAATTACGATGATTTTTAATTCCATGATTCCCTCTTGTCATCACCATTAATACTGCAGGCTTTAAAATAATACCAATTGAAGACTGTTCTTATATATTTCTGATCTGTATGTTTTTGTAAACTTAAAAAAATATTCCTAATTTGGATTTGATGTGATAATTTAGGTCGGTTATTGGGGATTGACATCGGGAGCAGGATGCACACCTTGCGGCTGCGATTCCATGGGGTCTTATAATGCATCTTGTCACAGTGGTACAGGAGAATGCTACTGCAAGCCAGGTGTGGGTGGTCCGCGCTGTGACAGTTGTCAACCCGAATATTATGGATTTTCTCCGAACGGCTGTCAATGTAAATTAAATTGCTTCCCCACAGAAATCCAATTAAGATAACATCTCTTGGTCAAAGTAAACAATTTAATCGAACAATTTTTTCATCGTATTATAAAATGATATTCATAAAAATTATGAAGTATTAATGCGTATTAGAATCCTTGATAAAAAAATAGCTATTTTATATATATATATATATATATATATATATATATACACGTATAATTTAAATATATTTTAATTTAATTAAATTAATTTATTATACATATAAAATTTGACAAGAGAGGGAAAAAATGTTTAGAACACCCAAACGATCCTCGCTTGTGTTTTTAATACCTTTAAAAAAAAATCTCGACAAATTGGAGAACTGCGGATGTAACATCTACGTTTGCCCCACAGTGTGCGACTCGTGTGTGCGACCCGGTCACGTGTGCGACCCCGACACCGGTCGTTGCGTGTGTCCCCGCTTGACCTACGGCGAGCATTGCGACCGGTGCAGACCGGGTGCGTGGGACCTGGTGCCGCATGTTGGCTGCAGGCCATGCGCCTGCACCCTCGGCGCCACGCGATCCCAGTGCGACCACCAGGGTCAGTGCCCCTGCAGAATCGGCTATGACGGGCTCAGGTGCGAGAGATGCGCCAGGGGTTACTACGGTTTTCCGAGGTGCCGTCCCTGTGGCTGCAGCTTAGCCGGCACGATTCAATGTCGAGACGGCATTTGCGAATGCGACGACAAGGGACAATGTCCATGCAAGGTGAGAAAGAGAGAGAAAAAGAGAAAAACGAGACTTTAGGTAGGCGTCATCGCGACAGAAAAGAAAATGTCGAATAAAGAACTGACGCTGAGAAAATTTTTGAAAATAATTAGAAAACTGTTCGTATGTAAAGTCTGTAGAAGTCTGTAAAGATGTAAAACGAATTTTTTTAATCATCTTCCGTTCGCAAAAATTTAAGATTGAAAAATTGAAGAATCTCTTTATCTAAATTTAGATCTAAAATTAAGATATAAGGATGTTATTATGTATTTGTTTTTGATATAATGTTGGAAACATTATATTCTCATAATACATTATATTCTGTATCAATTTAAAAAATGATTTTCAAGGAATTGGTCGTTGGACGACAGTGCAATGAGTGCAAGGAAGGCACGTTCGGCCTTGCGGCAAACAATGCCAGAGGATGTACCGAGTGCTTCTGTTTCGGAAGGAGCGCTCTGTGTCAACAGGCTGGACTCGGTTGGGGTCAGCGCAGATTAACCCGTCCTCGAGTTCTTTATATCAACGACACAGTCAGCGATGTAATAGTAAGATCCATTTCGATTTAAATTTGAACGAATAAATTTTACTAACTAATACTTTATCATCGTCTGATCATCTTATTAAATCGTATTAAACAGATAACGAGCTTTGGCTCCACGACTGTATTGCCAGCTGTGAACGGTGGATTGAACGTGACGAATGGCCTCTCTGTAATCCCTGGATCGGATGGTGATGTCACGATGCCCACGAATCTTTATTACAGTTATCCTTTGTACTGGAGACTACCGGATTCTTTTCTGGGAGACAAGGTAATTCCTTAGTTCGTTGAAAATGTCCGAATATTTAAAAAAACAAATCCAAATATAAAAATTAAATTAAATTTATCTCATTTTTAAATTTGTAAACTTTGTAAATGTTCTATAAATGTATGAATGATTTGTTTTTGATTGAGCTGATTCAAATATTGGGCTTTGTTCATGTATTAATTCTTTAAGGTCGTTTCTTATGGAGGATTCCTCCGCTTTAAAACCTCGACGGAAGGTGGGATACCTTTGAGATCGAATCTTCGATATCCTGTGGTGCAGTTGCAAGGCAATAATAAGATTGTTTTAGAATACTATTTGCATCTACCAGTGAGCGATAATCATTACGAAGTCAGGTACATTCGCAGTTAATTGAAAAGAGAAAAGAATACAACATAAGTGATGTAAATTAAATATGACGTGATTAAATATGTAAATTAAATTAAATGAATTCAATTATAGCTTGTTATATTATGAATTTTGTAAAGATTTATTAAGATTTGTCTTTTATATAACTGACATTATCTGTTATTTTAGATTCCATGAATCGTTATGGCAGCTACAAAACAGACCGGATTATAAAGTTTCCAGGGACGTTCTAATGGTCGCATTACAAAACCTGCAGTACATCCTCGTAAAAGCCTCGGACAACGCCGAATTTACGAGAACCACGTGCGTAATAAAAAAGATGCGAAGAGTAAAATGAATTGCTACGCAGTTATCTTTATTTTTGTATTTAATTTTGTATTTAATTTTGACGAACTAGTTTAGATATAGAAAAAAAAATGTTTTATCCACTAACTCCCTATAACTATTAAAAAAAGTAGGAATTTTTGACAATGTTTTATTTAATCTGTGTGTCCCGTTTAGACTTCTGGAGGCTTCTCTCGACGCCGCCGTCTTGACGCCTACGCACTCGCCATCGCTGGCGACCGGAGTAGAGATCTGCCAGTGTCCGCCGGAATACAACGGCACGTCCTGCCAGGATCCCAGTATTGGTTTTTACAGGTGGTACAAGAACACCACCGCCACGTCTACCATCGTGATCGATCTTGTCGGACAAGCGAGACGCTGCCAGTGCAACGGGAGATCCGAGGTGTGCGACAGGGAGACGGGATATTGCTTGGTAAGCATTACTCAAACATTTTCCTACGAGTATACGCTGTTCGCGGAGATGATAGCGCGACAGGAAGTGTGCTGAGAGACAAGTGTATAAGGATATGAGCTGGAGTTGATACAAGATAAATTTCTTACTAAAGAATCTTTAAATCTGCATGCGTTTGCAGATTTATATCCTTTTTTTCGATTATCTTTATTTGTTATCTACACGAACGATTTTCTGTAAACTAATTTTT